TAGTTGTCTCAAATATTATGGACGATGTCAGCCCAATAAGAAATTGTTATTCAATTTTGAGATCATCTTTAGAAACCACTATCTGATGATCGCCCGAAACTCCGTGTTGTATGTAATCTTGCAGTCTTTTTTGTACTGCGTTCGGCGACCAAAACTGCATCGCTATTCTGCCGGCAGATGTCGCTCCATGAAATATTTTTAATCTTACAATTTTGAACTGAAAATTATCGGTGCTCTCTGTATTAGGAATAATATGCAGAGTTGTAGCCATTGCACATATACTCTAGTATATTGACAACCTATTCAAAACTTCCGGATCTCATATATAACTTATTAAGCATTTGATATCAATAACTCAGACTAATACTGGCGTCGGGTGGAGTATATATTTTTGAAATGTAATGCAAGGTATTAAGCCAAAACTAAAGAAGAGTTGATATTCTTTTCATCCGTGCATGCAACAACTATAAACTAATATTGTGGATGACATTCGTAAATAATTCCTTCCAAATTGTTTAATTGTGGTAAAGTTTTACATCATTTGTTACGATGAACTTTATCTGAAAGAAGAAAGTTTTCACCATGTTTTCACTACCCTTCTCTAAGTGGTGCATGCACTGTACAAGAATATCTTAGAAATATTGGTAGCCAGGCAGCAGGTGCATGCGTGTGGTGCAGCGGTGTCGTGCTCGGCAGTCGTAAGGCTGACCGACGCAGTCAACCGCAGCCTTTACGGCATCACCACAAACCTGTCATCAACACGTCCACTTTCCAGGCAAAACAAATTCAAGGCAACTTTCTTTAAACTGAAATGAATTATCTGAACTATTTGATAAAATATTCTATCGAACTCTACTCTCGAGTTATTGTTGGGGAGGATTATCTTGAAACAACTAAGTAAAATTTTGTACAATGATGAAAATTTCATGACAGCCCGCTCAAATTATCCTGTACAACTGATTTTAACCGTAAAGACTGTTAAAAATTCCCATAAATATTCGAATTACTGCGTGTTTAGTTTGGACGAAATTTTGAATATATTTTGTGTGAATACGACGCTACATTGCATATAAAATAAAGTAATGCTACGATGCATATACGATACTATCCACAAGATGAAAGCACGCATTATATATTCTCCTTCGAATGAAAAGAGTAGGGAAGTGGTATTATTCAACACTGAGATGGAGAGCGTGCACCAATAGTTTTATCCATCACTCTTTGTTATATATCTTTTGATTTATCGGTGGCCTTGTGCAGAGCATCGATATTCTACACAAGCCTTTGCTGAGACCGTCCCCTCGCATCCTCAAGTATAAGGTTACCGCCCGCATCGATAAGTTGCGTACAACGAGCTTGTTAGTTCCGAGCCACAATGGAGCAATGTTCCCTACCCTTTTTATGCCGAGTTTGAGCAACAGAGAAACTCGTCGAACATTTGCAAACTAATCACTCGAAAATTACGACCACATGCGATGGAATGGTTTTTTATTTAAACTTTGCCGCAATGGAGGACTCGCCAGTTATACAGACGAGGTATCTTTTAGAGCCGTAATGATGCATCATCTCTAAACAATTAGTGGGGTTCATAGGTCAAGCCCTGTAACGCACAGACGCTTTGCTATGAAGGTAGGCTGTTTTGTGCTCGGTCTGCCCAATTAGAGCAACAGAGCGGGATGTTGTTGGGAGCCACATCTGTCGTACACAGCTGTAATTAGCTTAATGGTCAGGCAAAAGATGCTCCAGCGCTATATAGGTTTGCGCTGCTGGACAATGTTCACTCTTCGTATCGGGAATTTTTGTTGCCGGCAGCTACAACTATGCCAGTAAATAGCACCGAAAATGCTGGCCCCGAGCCATTCACTTCAACTTTTCTGTGCAATTGACTGCCATCGAGTTTATTAAAGTCGACCTTTATTTTCAACAGCAAATTTTTTTGTTACCATTTAATTAGAACGAGCTAATATAATAATGATCAAGACCCAATAATATTTTATTGCCAAGAGAATGGTTCGATATTTTTTATTATGATTTTGTATCTATTTCTAATGCGATTATCATAATGATGATGGAGGAAAACCTTGCATAGAAACATGAAAAACTGGATTAAAAAAGTTGTGAATATCTTGCATTGATTGCTAATGAGACAATCTAATTTGTATTTCAGATAATCATTCCTATCATTCAAAAGCAAAGAAAAGTCCACAAAAATTCATATCTTTATAGAAAACGTTTCGGAGACCAGCTCCATCGTCAGTTCGTAGAATCTAGAATCGCAAATCAGAAGTCACTAATTAATATTAAAATCACTTGACTGCTTAAATCGCAAGTTTATTAAAAATTTAAAAGCAATAAGCAGCAAAGATTGGGCGGAATTGAAATTTCAATGCGAAATCTGGTTTATGAATTTTGGGTAAGCCATACAAAATACCAGGGGAAGAGCCAGATGCATAAAGTTTGAAGTAATTTTCAGATGAAAGGGCAGCAGAATCTTTAAGTTTTCTTAGGAAATTATGAATTTTGTCCTCAATCTTCAAAATTGTTTTAGCAATTGGATCTATAATTTCGATAAATTTGGAAGGGTCTGTAATGAGAGTAGAAAGGCTACTGTTGTAACGATTACGGTCAACTAATACAACGCCCTTGCCCTTATCTGGCTCACAAATGATTAGGTCCTTATTTTTGGCCAAGTCCTGCAACAGATGGGTGTCACGGGGTTGGAAAACTGATGAGAAAATTTTATAAGATTTAAAGCCGTAAAAATGATGGTAAGCTAGGCTTTGCAAGTTGCCCAGAAATTCAGGACGATTGGAAATAGAAACATTTCTTATGCTAAGAGCAAGTCTTTCAAAGGCTAAAAAGTATTTATAGAAGTCTAATTTAAAAACAGGCAGACAAAAATCAAGCCCGAAAGCCAGCAAGAATTTGGTTCGAGGTTCCAAGTTGTATGAACTAAAATTGAAAACTACTTTATCAGGGTTACAAGGATGGATTTCATTATGGATCCCGAGGTTGCTAAGTTTCTTCTGATGGGTCTGACTAGTAGCATTCTTCAATGCTTCGGTTAAACGTCTGACATGCTGACGGATTGCGTAGGCATCAGGGATGGAAAATAAATTCCCAACCCGAGCTTCACTTTCGGTGATCAAAGCGGTTAAAATTTTCAAGGTTTTCTTCTTGGACGATAGTTCCTTGCAAAGGAGCTTGTTCTGCCATGACTTGTAAAATGACGAGGTATGCAAACAACGTTTGTAGAGTCTGAACATGCTTGCGCATCCCCCTCATTCAGCAGTACGCGTCCATGCCGAGCAGTGCAACGTGCCAGTGTCCGATAGTGATTTTGGAATTTTAGCCTCCACAACCGGTGTTTCCGACTTGCGAATTCTAGAGTCCTTCTATATTTTTAAACAAAAGCCTATTTTAAATGCCGCCTATAGTTCATATCCCCTCGAAATTGTAAATAGATAGATTTGTTCCCGTGTTTGTTTCATTCTTGTTTGTTTCTCATTTGACGATTTTTGCATCAATGTGAATTTATTGCTAATTGTTTGTACCTGTGTTTTAGGTTTTGAACTGATGATGGAGCTGGTCTCCGAAAAGTATTCCTTTTTAAGAAATGGTGAATTTTTTGGCTATTTTCTTTGCTTTTAAAATTTTCACTAATTAATACATTGAAAGCCCAGAACGAAATTAAAAGCCTAAATTTACAAGTAATAGACGGAGCAAAAAAAGAACTATCTATTAACAATTTCATGGGGATAGGAGCTAACAGCTGAATTCAAACTGGGCCTAAGTTTAAAGATGTACAATGACTCTAAAATGCGCAAATCGGAAGTCCCGGAGCTGGAAGCTAACACCCTAAAGTCACTGTCAGAAATAGGGACATCACACTGCTCGGCGTGAGCGCGCACAGCCGAATGAGGTGATGCACATCGTGCACAACAATATTGATAAACCAGGGACGATCGCATATGAACAGGGAGCATATTTTTATATCTAAAGAAAAAAACGATTGCGAAATTGTTTACCAGCATTGACATTTGGGAAGTATCTATTGAACAAGACTTTTAATTCTCTTGACATAGCATTGGACGCAGGGCCGAAGTATGGAAAAGAACAATAAATAACTTTCCTACTATCGCGCTCAGGAGCAACCTCACTGTATCGCTTCGACATGAATTTCTTGATTTGGGTAAACACCAAATTTGCCGGAAATCCATTAAGTGAGAAAATATTATTGCGTAAAAATTCCAATTCAGCGTGCATAGCATGGTATGTAGAACAAATGCGAAAACCTCCGAGTAATAATGTTTGAAGCCCATTTAACTTGAATCGGAACGAACAAAAACTAAAGAAACTGGTGCTTAGGCCGGTGAAAGTTGGTTTTCGATACACAGAAGTCAGAAAACGGTCATTAGATTTGGTAATATTGCAATCGAGGAAGGACAAACTATTGTTAGATTCAAGCTCCATAGTAAATTTGATACAATTATTTTGTGAGTTTACGTAATCAAAGAATGGTTTGACATGAGAAGGATGCTTGAAAATTAAAAAGGTGTCATTGACGTATCTGTTATAGAATATTGGCTTAAAATCGAGAGGCCAATTGTCCTCTCTATTTTAAGCCAAGAAAAATCATACGTTTTTCAACGTGCGTAGGTGCCTCTTTAGTTTCGAAATTGGGAAGTAACTTGTCTCAGCTATCAGAGTAAAAATGTACCGGGCCTTCAAGATGTGACGAATTCAGTATAAATTATTTCATGAACAATTTATTAATGTATCAGTTTTAAATTTTTTATCGGTTTGTATTTCATGAAAATATATGTACGACGTAAGTTACTTGACGAGGCGAAGATTCTAAGGCCATGTACGACGTAAATTACTTGACGAGGTGAAGATTCTAACGCTATGTTCATGTACGACGTAAATTACCTGACGAGGCGAAGATTCTAAGACCATGTACGACGTAAATTACTAGACGAGGCAAAGTTCTTACTGACCAGTTCTGTGACTGCCCCTGCGAGGTCTCCTGAGGTTGCCAGGGGCGTCTTCCTCGTCGCTGCTGGAGTACTGGCTGGTGGCTGCCGTGAGAGGGGTGGCCGCCCTGGCTCCTCCTGCTGCTGTAGCGGGCACCCCGCGGCGGCTGTTGCGGCTGCTCGCTGAGCGAGAACTCTCAGCCTCCATCTCACTCGGTGACGGCGACCGGCATCTGCCATGCCAAAAATACCATTAAAGTTCACTTCCATGTGCTGTGTGAAAGCTATGAAATAACGGTTCAAGTATAACACATCCAGCTGAATCAGGCGACCGGCATCTGCCATGACAAAAATACCATTAAAGTTCACTTCCATGTGCTGTGTGAAAGCTATGAAATAACGGTTCAGGTACAACACATCTAGCTGAATCAGAATGTAGAGGCAAAAAATGTAGTTTGTGTTAACGTTTCAATATCCATCGTTGAGTTGTGCTATTATTACTTTCAGCGATTCAGGTTCATAGATGTTTAAAACTTGCTAATTGGCAGAGCAAAGAGAAGTGTAAACATATTCGTTAAATTTATTGTTTACTGTTGTTTACTGGACATGTTTCATATATGACAGGTGAACATTATTTTGCGCAAAGACACAATTTATGAGATACATTTCATGAAGTAACACAATTATGATATATTTGCAGGAGCGTTCTGCTTCTGCAAGCATAAAAGAATTTTTGTTGCTCTTTAAAAGCTTCAGTAAAAACTTCCCTGTTAAGCCTTTCCCATCAATAATTTTGAACCGAGATCTGCATGAAAAACTGAGTTCTACACTAAATTGTTTTAAGCTTGAAGCGTCCATTGTAGGCCTTGGCTAGATTGTGTTCGGCAGTCACTTATCAATAAGTTCAATATTGAGTAGGGTTTTACTAGGATTAAATATCAGCGATGAGAACTTAAAATTCAAACGTTTTATCAAAACTCGCATTTTGATATTCTCATGATTACGTGATTAGTAGATACGAGCAGGACCATAGAAGGAAAAAATGCTTCAATAGCCTAGCAAGGCGGTCTCATTAACTGCAAGATCCTGCAATTAGCGGGAAAATCTGTGGGTGTGATTGCTTTACTGCGAACTCACATTTCCTCACTACCACAAAGCAATGACGAGGCTGAGCTAACGAGTTAGGTGACTACGGCAAGTAATCGTCCCAAGTTTTTAAATGCCTAACTATTTAATGCGTGGTACAACACACACCAAGGTGGTAAAACTTACAATAATTAAAAAAAATACTTAGGCATATTGCAAACACAACGTAATTATTTAAAGATCGGCTGCATTATAAATGTGAAGTAGACGAAAACAATTTCAAATATATTTGCAATTTTTCATCGAATTTCCTTTAGATCCCGAAGTTGCTGGACTTTGTTACCTCCAGTAAAAGACGGCCTAAGCATCTTATTGATGTTCGGCAGAACGGAAGAACTTGGCATTCTTTATAGCAACGCAATGTTGAGGTCGGGGGTTTAGAGGACTTTTTATGGTCTCACTCTCGCTCCATAGGAGCGGAATATATCACCTTTATTTTAATTTGCCAAGCAGTTACGTCACTTTGGAAGAACAATTTTTCCCCGCAGAAGCAAAGAAACGCGAGGCGCGCAACAAGCTGGCAGTAAGTTTGGAGCTTGACTGCAAATAATGCAGAGACCGTAAACAAGCCGAAGAGAGCGTTAGAAGGCAGCTACCATGCAAACTACTGCAATAAAATCCAAAGCCATGTATTATTCATCGTAGCCGAGAGCGAAATGCTCGTGTCTAAGCTCTTGGAAGAAGCAATGAGGAAAAATACTTCGAAGCGTCTCATCTGGCACGTTTTTTGTATGCACTACAAACATAACGATTAAAGTTGGCTGTGGCGCGTCTGGAGATGAAACTTCATGAAATTCTTGTGAGCGTAGAGACACGAGCATATCAGATACAAGTGAGTGCTTCTGAACTACAATGTTCAAGTAAAATTTAATTTTACACGTACGTGTAAAATTAAATGTTTAATTTAATCTTACATGTTCTGTGAAATCTTTTAACGGCGCCAATTCAAGTAGAAGGAACATTGCTAGTGCCTCAATAACAAGCTAAAACATTACGGGAAAGTTATGGGTAACAAATTTATTAAAATTTGTTTGAATCACATAGGAAAAACTCGTATTTCTTCGGCATTCTTCTTGAAGTACCCGAAAATAGAATTTAGTTTGAATTTTCAGTTAAAAATTCGGAACTCCTGAATTCTCATGAACTCCTGATAGAAATTGCTGTTTCACTGAGAAGCTTTCCAGCTCAGGAGAGATGCAATGCGACATAAACCCTTTATTTTTTGCCATAAAGGCAAGATGGTGCCAGAGGTGTTGAACAAAGAATTTGAATTACCTCAGCAAACTGAGGAAACAAACTTCAGGACCAGAACTGCGACTTCAGAGGACAAACGTTTGGACGGAGAATACGTTTGAAATGACGAAAATGCCATCTTACGCTTATTTGATTGTTGTATTAGCTTGCATAAATCGCAAGTTTACCAAGAACTTAAAGCTAAGAAAAAGGCCAAGGAACTTCACCTGATGATGAAACTGATCTCTGAAACGTTTCCAGAGAAGGTATCATGAATTTACGGAAGTTTTCTTTGCTTTTGAATTCGTGGTTACATTTTTATTCTTCGAGGAACGTTGAGAACGCATATTTATTTGAATTTCTGTCACTATAGTCCATTTTTAGGTTGATCATCATTCATCTCCTCATTAATTACAAAATCGACCTCAGTTCAGCCGACCTCGGTTATTCTTCATTGACAGAATTAATAAAAACTGCCAAGGTTTATGTAAAGTAAATTTCCAGCGAAAGAAAATCACTGAACCTGGCGCAGGATTGACGCCACAGTCATAATCTGCCGAGATCATATCAGGGTTGCCGGTCAAGCGACCGTCACGTGGGTCACGGCATACCTGCGCTTCTCGGCCACCATGAATTGTTTCTCAACAACAAATTATAAAGAGGACCAAATGAGGGGAAAGATGACACCTCATAAATTAAAAGATTTGAGAAGACGAACGAAGGGACAATGCAGTCTACTGAGAGTGTGTAGTCTCTCAAGATTACCATTGAACAGCCGTAAACAATTTTTCAGCGAGAAGTTTAGAATTTATTAAAAATGATGAAAAAAATCTACAATATTCTGAATTGATGAACAGTAAGCAAAATGGTAGTTTGTTTTAATGAACAGAATGTCCATGAATAACGAATTTGAGTGACCAAATAGCTACTAAAAATTCAATAGAAATTGGAAAATTTAGTGATGGAACGATAATTTAGTTTCATTTATGGAAATTCGACCGTGGTGACCATGCATGACCCCATGTGCTCTAAACAAATCTACGGGCATAGTACAACTTATTCAACTATCTCTACCCTAGGAATGACTGAACTTTTTTCTTTATTTTAGTTTTGTAGTTCGGAGGTTTTTTGCCACGAAAAGAATAGCATTTACCCGCCATTAATAGATAAGGCTGTCGTAAAACTCGGCCGTATCAGCCATAAAAAGTTGAGAGGCTTCACTGAAAATTCTTGGGAATGGAAACGTCTTGAAGAAACTTAATCACAATCAAGCCGACGGGAGCGACGCAGGGGCCGCGTTCACTTCGAACATTTAACAGAACTTTCCGGCACTGAAAACTCCTCTCATTAAATGTGGATAAAACCAACGCAAGTGGAGTACGGTGGCTGAGGCTGAATTAGGAGAAAAGAGTCGCTTTTTAAGAGACATAGGTGCTCTCGGAAACTGGTGAAAGGAGTCAACAGAGTTTTCCTGAAGGAGAGTTTCGCGTTTGCTTCTAGGTGAACGCCATGTCAAGGTTTTGAAGGAAGGTCCGGGTTTGGAGGCTCGAGCGGGCTGCTCAAGAAGCGCAGCACACCATCGAGAGATCCCAGACAACGTGACTGCGACTTTCTTCTGATGGAACAACTGAAGTTTCCAGTTAATTGTGCTCATAAAAGCGCCAGTTAATGTGCGTCATAAAGAGGGACGTAACCCTAGTGAGGATTGCTCCTTGCCGCTATGGAGCTTTGGCTTAAAAGGATGCACTTGCTTGGGGTATTTCAGACGGTAAAAACGTGACTGGTCTCGGCGGAATCGAGGCACTGATGTTCAAAATATGGTTGTGTCATGAGTCTGAAAGAGAAATTTTACAAGATTAATTCGTCGCTTTTGAAAATAAGTGCGTGGGGCGGATTCTATAAGCTCAATTAGCGAGCGAGCAAGAGGTTGGTACAAGAACAAAAAAGCTTTGTGTACAAATTGCGAAGAGCGTTAGGACATTTTGTATTTTTTTTTGCCCATCGCAGTCCACAACAACAATACCAGAAACCAATAGCCACTAGGCGCACCCGCACAACCCGAAACTGTCCATAAACGCATTCGTTAGTTACCGTCCAGCAGCTGCAGCTGTCATCAAAAGCCACGAGTAGTGAGCAACAGTCAAACAGTCTCCGGTAGCCCCCAACACTCTCCAGCTGTTCCCTATAGTCTCCTACAATCTCAAACTAACACAAGCAGCAAGTCTTTAGCAGTCACCAGCAGTCACCATGCAGCAGACACCACCAGCCTCTAGCAATCACAATCTGTCTGCAGTAATCACTAACAGTCTCCAGCAATCATCAAAGTGTCCAGCGGTCTCCACAACTCTCCAGCAGTCCCCAAAAGTCATCAGCAATCTCTCCAAAAGTCTCCAGCAGTCTCCAGCATCAGGGTATCAGCAAGTTGTTTCCCAGATCTCGGGAGATCAGCTGAGACGTCCGAGTTGCCGCTGCGGCTGTCAGGCTGCGCCCGTCAAGCCGCCCAAACGCTGCAGCGTCAGCATTTATTGCCGCGTAAGTTTTAATTACTTTCTTACAGAGTTTTTATTCCTGTTTTGCATGGCCATAAAATCTGTAGACTCGGAAGAAGAGATTAAGAGAGAGGCGCAAGGGCGGCACTAAAGTGAGAAATTTCCTGGTGAAGTACAGCTAAGTACTTCGTGGAAGGCAATTATCTGTAAGAAAAGCTTTTTAAACTATTTAACTCAAATAGAGGAACAATATGATCATGATCATGAGAAACGTCCGCGATAAAAATTAAAACTGAAATTAAAATTCCTGAATTATGCTTGCAGAAAAATGATCAGTAAAAATTAGATAGATTATCGGCACAAAA